GGGGGGGGGGGGAGGAGGAGTGGAACCTACTGTAAAAAATAACTTAACCCAATCCATTTTTTGGTGCGAGATAGCTCTCGTTTCACGTGGAAAGTCTAAACCGTGTGGAAGTCGTATGCCCCTTTCCAGGGCGAGGGGAGGAGGAATTGCTTCGCGTGGAAAGTTAAACGTTTGTAAGCAGGAAGAGGTATAGAATAGTACTTAATATCGTATACGTATAGTAGAAATACTATGTTTTTTTTGAAATTTTTTTTGTTAATAACTTTTTAGCGGGGGTTGACAGTCAAGTAAAACCTGCGGAAAGTTACTCAGGGTCTTGACAACATATGTCAAGGTCAAGGTATCGGAGGGATAGTCCGTTATTTTAGATAATTACTGAAGTTGTATAAAATTGGTAAGAAAATATTAGAAAATTTGTAAGTTAAAAGTAAAGATGTAAAAATACACAAATAATTTAACTTAACCGTTCTATGTATTTATGATAGTTATGAAAATATTATTTGTAAAAAATATTTTTTTATTTGTAGAGTATTTAATTTAGAATTTTATATGAATTAAAATTCAGGATTTTTTAATTTAATGTTTGTTAGAACAGTTAATTTCATTTTTCATAAAACACATTTTTTGAGATTAATTATATTACGGATTATTGTTGGTTAAAATGAGATTATACATTTTATATTTTTAAAATAATTATATTTAATTTAAAGACAATTTAGAAATAATCATTGATTTTAATTTCTCATGTTTTATATACATCTAAATTTCTTTCTAATATACATTTATTAAATGTTTTATTTTTAATTCTCAATCCGTGATAGAGTGCTGCATATATTATCAAATAATTAAAAAGTTATTAGAAATTTTTTAAACAATAAAATTAAATGTATACATGCAATATTATATATGTATTAAATAATATAATTGATTGTATGTTACCTTTGTGTTAATTTGTACGTTATAACCATTTCATCGCGGAATTTGAAATAAGCATTGCAAAGAAATGTAAAAAAAAATTTCTGGATAATATGTAGTGTTATAAAAATAAATTGTAAATAAAAATTTCGTTTCAAATAGCACTTGTATGTATTAATTCACGTATTATATTGATTGATATTATGACGTGATGTTATGGCGCAGTAGTAATTTTATAAAGGTAACATTCACAAGAGTACAGTGGATAGAATGGGAGTACTGCTCAATGTATGAAATATTTGTTTTAATAATATTTTATTACTGAAAAGAATTAATTATTTGTTTAATAAAATAATACAATTGGTTTAATTACACTCTTTAATCTAATATTCTCTATGTTCTTCTGAAATGATAATTTAGCTACAAGATAATGTAGTCGAGGAGCGTAGTAGGTCTATCCAACCGCTGGAAGATCGCGTAAAAGGAACAGAAAAAGAGACTGAGACCTTGCATGCTCAGGTACTCACAAAGATGAATCGCGAGACATACATTATCCATAAGAGATCGTAAAATTTACACATTCGTTTCGTTTCAAACATGGTTGCAGCATACTGGACCGAATACTCGACGGTGCATGAGACTCTGGCCTTACAGTCGCCCGACTGGAAGAAGATATCCGAACAGCAGCATCGTCAACAGCAGCAGCAGCAGCAGCAGCAACAATTTTCGCAGCGGCAGCAGTCGTTTCCACAGCAACCATTGCAGGGCCATGTTTGCAAAGATTGCGGCAAGATCTACAAACAAAGAAACGCTCTATGGCGACACTTCAAATACGAGTGCGGCAAAAGTCCCAGATTCCAGTGCCCGTATTGTCGCATCCGGACGAAACAACGGTCTAACATGTCTACACATATTAAGCACAAACACGTGGGCTTCAAGATTTACATAATCGATCTTGAAGCCGGGAAATGATTGCCTTAATTAAGTTTTTTAATGATCAAAGTCGAAAATATTTTTATGTGTCTTGCATTTTAGCAGAATATAAAAAAATGTTACTTTTAACAACGATTTAAGCCATCATATTTACGCAATGATTTTATATCGATTAATAAATCATTAAAAATTAATTAAAAAAGTTCTTGTAGCTCACGTCTTGTTGAAGAAGTTGTGGGAACTATGTAGAATAATGGACCACCATCCAATGATCTTGACCTTGACATATGTGGTCAAGGTCACAACCCTGAGTGATCTTCAGAAAGTTTTAGCCGGCAGCCGTCTTTCGCTAAAAAGTTATTAACAAAAAAATTTTTCATATTTTATATAAATCTAAATTTCTTTCTAATATACATTTATTAAATGTTTTATTTTTAATTCTCAATCCGTGATAGAGTGCTGAATATATTATCAAATAATTAAAAAGTTATTAGGAATTTTTTAAGCAATAAAATTAAATATATACATGCAAATGTATACATACACAATATTATATGTATATTAAATAATATAATTGATTGTATGTTACCTTTGTATTAATTTGTACGTTATAACCATTTTATCGCGGAATTTGAAATAAGCATTGCAAAGAAATGTAAAAAAAAGATTTCTGGATAATTGTAGTGTTATAAAAATAAATTGTAAATAAAAATTTCGTTTCAAATAGCACTTGTATGTATTAATTCACTTATTATGTTGATTGATATTATGACGTGATGTTATGGCGCAGTAGTAATCTTATAAAGATAACATTCACAAGAGTAGAGAGGATAGAATGGGAGTACAGCTCAATGTATGAAATATTTGTTTTAATAATATTTTATTACTGAAAAGAATTAATTATTTGTTTAATGAAATAATACAATTGGTTTGATTACATTCTTTTCTCTATGTTCTGAAATGATAATTTAACTAGAAGATGATGTAGGCGAGGAGCGTAGTATATCCAACTGCTAGAAGATCATGTAAAAGAATCAAGAAAGCAGAGATAGACTTAGTTCTTGCTTAGATATTCACAAAGATGAATCGTGAGACACATTATCAGCAAGAAATCGTATTCATAAAAATTAAACGCGGGACGTACATCATCCGCAAGGAATTGCGAAATCAATATTTGTTTTATTTCGAATCTGCTTGCAGCATACTGAAGCAAATACTCAATGCATGAGATTCAGGTCTTTCAGAAGAAGATACCCGAACGAAAGAATCGTCAGCAGCAGTAGCAGTTTATGCAAGAAAAGAACGCCTTAATTATGTTTTTCAATGTTCGAAATTGCAAATGCTTTTTCTGCGTTTGCATTTTAGTGGAAAATGAAAAAAAAATTTTCAACAATAACTTGAGCTGTTGAATACATTCACATTAACGATTTTAAAACGATATAAAATGAAAAGAATTAGTGAAATTAGTTTAATTATATTTATATTACCTCTCTCTGTGTCGGAATATATGATTGTTAACCATAAATAAAAATACGTGTAATGGAATAAATATCAAAAGTTGAATTATTAATGTTTCTTCGGGGTTTAACGGGCGAATAAAAATTACTTTTCACTAATCAACACAGACAAGATCGTCTTTCAAGTTTTTCGAGCATGTAAACTAAGGGTTGTCCTATCATCCTCTATGTCTTATTTTCCTTTTGCGAGTTCAGTAGTTAGACATCTCAATAAATATCGATTCCTGTAACACTCTCCTGTTCAATCCTCGTCGTTATTTGTTGCAGTGCTTGACATTAGCGAGTATCGTTGCTGTTTCTGCAACAGTCCGTACCCGACGACATCTCATCTGAAAAGTCATCTGACCAGAGGTTGCTTCATGGACCCAACCTTCTCTATTGAGAAACGGCGCAATCTTAACAAAATCGAGTCCAGAAATTATGTATGTCCAAAATGCTCGCAAGGCTACAAGAACAAGCGTACGTTAAACACGCATCTGCGCATGGCGTGCGGCCGAGAGCCGAAATTCCAGTGTCCGTACTGCGATCTGAAGAGCAAACACCCGCCGAATATTTATACACACATTAGACGCAAGCACAAGGGTGAAGATCTCTTTTTGATAATCAACAACAAATAGACTGTAAATTAAATTGTAAAATTGTTATCAAATTTATATGTATATACAAGAGAGGGTTTTTAATTTAAATTATAATTTCGAAATTCCTCGTAATTTTATTACTATAACTATATTTTATAATTTTGTATTCTTGTATAGCAGTTGCCATGGGATGAAACTCATGAATATCATTAAATAAGCGGAAGAATTCATATTTGCACGCGCGTACCAAATTGCTTTAAGACTGTAAAACTTTAACTATTAATTGTTATTATTGTAAAAAAAATTAAACAATGTTGGGGTATATCAATAAATTAATTTATGGACATATATATATATATATATATATGTATATATTATATTAGAAAAAATAATTAAAAGAAACTATAAAATGTACTCGATTATCTTACGTATATTTTTACGAATATTCAATTTTTATGAGTATGAATATAC